AATATGCAGCCCATTAGAATTAGAATAATTGAGTTTAGACATTGTGTATAAGTTTACATTTCAATAACAACAACAAAATTATAAATGTACAAAATAATTCAAGTGCAAATTTATTTTTTAAAGTGGTAGGACACAGTATTTTAATATTTCCTACGCATGTTTTAAGAAACTTGGTGTATATGTTAGAATTCAAAGCAATAACTACATTATTCATTATACAAAACACACAACAGAGTTTTACTTAATTTTAAGTCCTTTTCTAAAGACTATATACAGCAAAGTAAAAAAAAAATATGAACAACTTTAAGTAGCTCTCTCTCTTTTAGAAAGCAATTTATAACATAATGTCAAACTGGATGCTTGAGAAGGTTTTGCATATTTACTATTTAAAATATTATTTTCCTGGAGACAACCCCAAAGTATGTGTCAGCTCCCATCAGAGTCATTGTGCTAAATCCCACTGAGATCTTGCTAGCTGCACATGGAACTGTAACTATAGCTTCTACATAACAAAGGGTAAAACTTTAATGTTGACTATTGCTTCTAGTTCACATAAACTAAATATATAGAACAAAGTAATTTCCAAACTCAGCACACCTCACAGGCTAAAATCAGAGTGCTTCCAGAATGCTGTAATGTGTGACCACATTTTACTCTAATTTCGGCTTTTTAAGATATAATCAGAGCTATAAAGAAAAAAAAAATTTCTTGGTTACTCCCCCTTTAAGTCTGTCCTATGCTAAGACTGAACTGTGATGTGCATTTTCTGATGTTTTCACTTGTTTGTGGAAATCAATCTCCTGGAAACTCAGAATGCAGAAGAATCTGACTAACAATTCTGAAGATATTTATTTAGGGGAAGTAATGAGACTATTAAGGCATCTCTCTGGCATGGTATTTTTTGCAGAAACATTAAAGGAAGTAAGGGCTGTTCTGAAAACTGCATGTATAAATCTGTAAAATAGGTTAATTTAGGGCCCTTGGTTCACATCTAATTCCCATGACATTTACAACTAAATCATCTCAAAACACAACAAACATTATCTGATAATATTCTATAGAAAATATGACATCATTCTTCAATAATATGTACCCTATTCAAAATTCTCTGTCTTGTTCTTTCAAAAGAGTATTCTTGACTTCACCTAAGGTTAAGATATTACTCAATCCATGTAACTTTTTCAATGTTTTTAGTATTAAAAATCATGACTCTATTAAATTTTACTTCAGCAAAAGCATTTGCTGCACCTTTTGAGATGCATTTAACTCATTACATATAACTTAAAATCTGAATGATGCTGCATTGAATTGAGACACTTTATTAGTAATTCATTATTTTGATGACTTCATTTCAAACATTTCGCCCCTGCATTCAGTCTGAGTGCAATCCTGATGCTTAAAGCAATACCTTTATTTTTTTTTAAAACAATCAAAATTTCTCAGCCTGGCCTTCTCATTCATGCCCAATCTAGGTACATGCTTTGAAAGCTTTCAATCTTGTCAGTGTTTCTATGGACTTGAGTCAGGGAAGAATGGAATGACTACATTTTTGGCTGTGAAGAAATTTCTTCAATAATATAAATCAGGAAAAAAAATCAGCATATCCCTCATGCAGATATAAATACCAGTTACTTAGAAGTATATTTTAAATTTTTAATTATTATTTTTATAATTTATAGAGTATAATAGCATTTTAGTGAGAGTAGGAAAAGACATAAAGAACCCTTTAAAATAATTAACATATATACATTTTAAAAATACACTGGAATGAGTCTCCCAAGCAGGCAGCACAGGTAATCAATGAAACTTTTTTGCCACAACCTCATCACAGGTTAATTAATTAATTGTTAATATCTGTAACCATCAGTGGCCAGCATCCATGCTCTGCAAAGTCCTTATGGCCCTTTTCACCTTAGCTGAGACTTGGAAGAAATTCATTGTATAAGCAAGTATCAAGTAATGTGGCCCTCTGGTGGAAAACTAAGTAGCACATTCTGCAGCACAATGCCAGACAGTAAACTAGAAGCTGGAAAATATTAGTTACAAAGGTTACAAAGCTTTACAGAACCAATCTTAAAAAAAAAAAATCACCCTGTGAACTTAATTAATAACCTGACACCTGAAGGACACTCAGGTACTGCTATGACGTAACTAATGAAAGCCCTCTCTTCATTCATCCTTCAATCCTGTTGCAGATAACAATAAAATCTCAGCATCTGCTAGCTTGAGAGCAACATACACTATTTGCTAGGAATCCGTTTCTCAGGTTCAAATAAACAGGCGGGTTTGTTTGCAGGAAGCATGGAGGAAAACAAAACTTACCTGCTGTTGTTGCAGATGTAGCAGCTCTACTGTGCTGACTTCAGAACTGGTGTCACCACTTGATCTCCCATCTCTGCTGCCAGCATCTAATTGGCTGCTTAGAGTGCTCATTCCATTTTGATTCATTGAACTGTTGCTTATTGTCTCTGTCGCAGATTCCTGCATCATGACTTAATACCTAAAAGTGATTAAGAAGTATCAATTAACACGCGTTACACCTTCACACTTCCATTATCAAGATGTCCCTCTCTGCCAATTACACAGGCAGCATCATTGGGGGGAGTGGGGGAACCTGAATAGTCATTTGCCCAGAAAAGCAATACAAATTCAGCTTTCATTGAGACACTAATCACTGAAATTATGGTTTCTATAGGTAATTTTTGTGTGGTTACCTTTATCAGCCAAAGGAACATACGATGCATGTACCATGGTCAATAGCATTTATGAACGACCACATTTTAAAGTCTATCTATGAAACCAGTTTAAATGAAGGCACGATTACACACTCTGTTCTGTTTCCTATTATCTACCTTTGACAACCATGGATGACTATACAGCCTTATTTTAAATATTCACTATCTTGATTCTGTCAGAATTTTACAGCACATCTTATGCAAGGCTGTTGTTTAATGATGCACAGCTAATCATACAAAATTAAAATTTTGTAAGGGTGTTACAAATCATATGGTATCAACCAATGATAAATAGTATAATGGGCTACTTCTTCTTTTTTTTTTTTTTTTTGGTGACTAAATAAAAATTTGCCTTGGAGGCATTTTAAGAAAAAGCTCCTGCTGCAAACACGTCAGATATTGCCTATTTTTTTAATCAAACAGCTCATATTCATTTATTTTTCTGACATTTAAAACATTTAATACTGTCCTTCCTGGGAAGTAATTAAGCTTATGCATGAGCAGCAATCAAACTGTTCACTTGAAGATGACTTAAAACTCAATTTTAACATAGGCAAATAAATGAAAGATATAAAATTAATTTTCCAGGCATGTATTAGATATGAAAGCTGGAAATAAAATCTATCAAGAATATCACTAATGATTGTGCTAAAAACAGCATAAATTATGCATATTACCTTCTCTACAGTAATAAATGTTTTATCATTTTCACTGCATAAATATACTGTACTTCCAGGATAGGAATGAGGTGTCCTGCCAAGATCAGTGGAAATCTGTGCAGTAAATAAAGAGCCAATGTGCTCTTACAACCGGAATTTCACAGCACCTCTTCAACGTGAGCTTTAGAGAGATCAGTTTTGGCTCTCAAAAACATGAATCCCATGCCATATTCTAATAGACACCCTTCTCTCCTCTATGTCTATGGACAGTATTTCAGGAATCAACCTGGTTGTGTTGTGACTTCCACAGAAGTGCTAGCCAGACAGTGAGCATAGCCAAAGTAACGAAGACATTAAACTCAATGTTCAGTTTTATTTATTTATTTATTGATGGAAGTTTTACTATTTGTATTGTATCATATTTTACTTAAAACTTATGTCCATTTAAAATTTTGTGATGTATTTATTGCACTGTAAATGAAAGCTTAATATTTTTTCCTGTCAGAGAAAAAACCTTTTCCTCAAATACCTTGCAAAATGTAACCTATGACCATATATACACATTAGTCACACACAGCTCAAATACATTATCAATAGATAGAATGAATGCCACTATAATAATAAAAATCAATGGTTGTAATAATTTTAACAGCTATTTTCATCAACTTCTAAAGTATTATATTATTTCCATAATTCTACAAAGTCCGTGAAAACACATACTAGTTTAAGGCAGACCAACAGTTAAGAAGCTGTATCAATAAATCAAGATAGTATTACAGAAACTACACATACAACTCTGGACTGCTCTGATCAAAGAAGATTTACAACAACATAAAAACATGAGCATAAAAGGCACTTCTCATACCTATACAGCAAACAACTTTTGAACCAAGTGAGCTTGTGAATAAATAGGTTTTGTTAAACATCTTATTTAACATTAACAAAGAAAAAAATCATACATATACACATGAAAACTGATACACACTGATGGAGTTTTTATAAAAAAAAACAAAGCTAATACTCTTTTCTGAGATTAGGCAGCTAATAAGTATTCAAATTAGGCATAAATTTTACATGCACAATGTTTAAAATATTCAGAGAAAGGGGCTGATTGCCTTTACTAGTTAGATGAGAATTATAATTTCAGTGTTCTTCAACTACGGAAACAGATAACTTCCATATTACATTTAAATTTTACTATGAATGGTAAAACTGAGCTACCATGTTTATAAATATGTGTTTGTCATGTATCGCTCAAATTTATATAAAATGTTTATCTCAGTCTAGAATTTCCAATACAAAGAATAAAAATGGATAACTGTTTTTCTGTTTTTTTTTTTTTTCAGATGTAGCAGGCAGGTGCAGCATTTGATACTAACCTTTGTGTTTTTATGTCAGGATCAATCAGATGAATTAAAGACTTCTGCACATATTACTGTTATAATCAAGGTCATCAAATAATTAAGAATAATCCATAAGCAGAGAGTCATGTGTCTAAATCTTTATTACAATAATGAAGAAGGACCTATATAACTTCCAATTCCTATTAACTAAAGGATTTTAATATCCCTTGTGGAATTTATGATTTTATGAAGCCCTAGAGTATAAATTGTGATTTACATTTTAACTTCAGTCACCTAAGACTTAGCAAAATTATGCTTAAGAAAACTGTGACAGTAATAGTAGTTTTGTTCTACAAAACAGGGGAGTCAGACCCAATGTCAATATTGAAAATGGAGTGGGGGGAGTGGGGAGCTGAATAATAAGATGACAATATTCTTTGCACATGAAGAAGAGAAACTAGTGTGTCCACCTTGAATGAGACATTTCTGCAAGGGTGGTAGGGATTAATCCTTTTGTGTTTACTAAGGGTTTTTTGTTTTTGATTTTTGTGTTTTTGTGGGTGTTTTTTCTTTTTTCTTTTCTTTTTTTCTAGTCTCCCCTGAACACTTACATCCCACTGATGAAAATTTTCTAGCACAATGTGAAGTGCTGTTTACATTTTCAGTTTACTTTAAATAATTATAAATTCACCATATTCTTTCAGAGTGTATGTGCTTATGATCCCAAACATATCAAGCTAAATTATTCATCCTTTTCAATCCTATCCCAAACATTTCATAAAAAATCAGTGAAAATAAATTCCAGGTCATTAAAGGGGAAGTTGGGTTTGGGAGTGACTCGCAATGCTGTCTGAACTATACATTAAACACTGAAGACTTTCCATCAGACACAGCTTTGCAGTCACATCAAAAATGAACTCTTCAGATCTTGCACTGAATACTTTTTTACTTTCCTCTCCTGCATTAAGTTTTCCTTTCTTTCTTTCTTTCTTGCTTTTTTTTTCTCAGAAATCCACTCTACAGATACTTTTTCTCTACACCACTTCCCTTTTGAAACATTAAACTGACACTGGAACTGACTGCAAGAGATTGCATTTTCTCTTCCTAAACAAGTTGAATTGAAAGGTTACTTAGTGTAACAATATTTACTTGCAGAATTGTGTTGTTACCAAGGGTATAATGGATGGTGGCTATGCAGGTTTACGCAAGAATGAGTGAAGCATGAGGCATTAGCCATGTGTTTGACATGTTTCAAATTGCTATAATCCAGCATTAAACACACCCAGCAATTCATGCCATTTCTTGCAGCCATAATCTTGAATAAAGTGTGCACAACCACTTATTATATAAATTAGTATATGACTCCCTGTTATAGTCACAACAGTGCTTTTGTGTTTATTTTGCATCAAGATGTAGTCTTTTATTTGTACAAATAGCAGGATATAAAGACATAGCTCAATTAGACCTCCTTACTTTATGATAGGGTAGTACTGAATGCTACACTTGTTGGTTTTATTTTTTTTCCTCTTCAAGTTATGGATGAATTTGGTATGATAATGTACTACATGAGATAGTTATGTGCCAGGGTGATGACAGAAACCTGCATGCATCTTATACCACATTAGCTGCATTGTGCCAAAGTGTGAAGCTTGACCTGGATGAGTAGAGTTAATTGTGTTATCCCAACCACCACCAGGGACACTATTGGTCCTTGTTGCTTACTCAACTTTTTTTTTTTTTTTTTTTTCTCTCATGTCTTCTATCTCACAATTTCTCTCTCCCAACTATCTCCCTTGCATTTCTTGCTTCTACCTCTCTTTTACTGTATAGCCCACTGATGCATCAAAGTTTCTGTGAGTACACATATTTATTATGAAAAAAGAAGTTGACCAGTCAATTTAACTAGCCTCTCCAAGACAGTAAGAAGGAAAAAGTAACCTCCATGTCCTATAACACATTCTCGTCAACATATATAGAAACTCTGTCTCATGACTGAGAGCTTTATTACTATTAAGGTCAATTTAATGGTAGATTTCTCTTTGTTTATCACACTAAGGTTTAATCAAATCAAGGGAGTGAAAATTCAATTACTTCCTAAAAATTAAGAATAATAATACCCATAATAGCATAAAGGATTTTCTATTTTTCTTAAAACTATTCATATCAAGAGAACCCTAATTCACTTGGTAATTTATTCCAGCATATAATTTGTTTACAAAATCATGTTCACTAAATCCAAAGAATTTTGATTCTTTCATGTAAGTTGTAAACTACTATATTACAATATCATCTTATTTTTAAGCCTGTTGTATTTAATCATTTCAAAATTTTTAGTAATGAAGTCACTTAATATTTGAAAGTGGATTGAGAACAGAATAGGTCAGAAATAGATACATAGGAAATCAGAAACTAAGTTCATTTATTTCTGAATTCAGCTGAATTCTGATCTGAAAACCTGACTATGATGTGAAACTTATGAATGAAACTAGCATTTAAATAATGATAACTTTTGTGCTCTAGTGGAATTAATTCATTGTGGTCTCCATGCATAGTGCATTTGAAACCCAGCACGGCTTTGCTTAAAGTATTTAATGCTAAGATTGCCTAATAAATCAAAATGCCAAATATGAAGGACATACTTGAATGTATAAGTGTAAAAATAGAAAATGTCCATGACTGTTTCTAATTTTTAAGACAGGAACTGGGTGCTGTCAGGAACATAATTTAAAAGAAGGCAGAGAAAGTGATATAATGTTTATTATA